CCTGTGTGCAGTTTTGGGAAGCACAGTATAAAAAGTCAGTGAGTTATTAGAAATCATCCAAATGAGGATGGATGGTGAGAAGTCAGGAGAGGAATCATTATGAGGAGCAGCTGAGATCTGTTCAGACTGCAGAAAAGGAGTGAGGGGAGGTCTCACTGCAGTCTTCAACATCCTCCTGAGGGGAAACAGACAGTCAAGTACTGATCACTTCAAGATCAGTGGCAGGACTCAAAGTAGAGCATGAAGTTGTGTCAGGGGAGATTTAGGTTGGATATCTTCATCCAGAGGGTGGCTGGGCACTGGACCAGCCTGGACTCCTCAGGGCAGTGGTCACAGCACCAACTTGCAGAGTTCAAGAAGTGTTTGGACAATGCTCTCAGGCACAGGGTGTGATTCTTGAGGGGTCTTATTCTCTGATTCTATGAATCCTATCCCATGGATTCACAGAGTTAAATTCTCTCTCCAGGTGTTTTCAAAATCCATCTCTATTTTGGCAGGTCTTGCCAACCCTTATCACCCTGACTGACCAAAGATGATAGTGAGTCACGCATGTTGATTTGCCATGGACACACTTTGCATTGATTACTCACTTTCCATGAGATAAGAGGGCAAATTAGCAGTGCATAATCTGGCCAGACCTGTGCCCCAGTTCTTGAACTGGCTGCGAAAGCAAATGCCTGCACCTCCTCAGCAGCTGTGGGGTTTTCCTGCAGAATCATTCCCAAGGTGGAACTGGTGCACTGCTCTGAAGGTTCCCACTTCCAGCCAGAGAGCTCCATGGCAGAAGAACTGACAAAAAACAGTGTCAAGACTTTTGCTCATGTGCTGCCTCTGCTAGACCACATAGAAATCTTTACACTCTGTTTTTCCGGTTGCTTACAGAAGTTGCCTAAAGGGCATGGACCTGGCTCATTTGGCTTACAAAAGCTCATAATACAAATTAAAAGAGCAGCTACAAATCAGGTAATAATGGGACACTAAAAGAGGCTGTACTTTGTTCATGTTTTCCAGCCCATCTGCCAGAGATGAAATCAAAATTTTATCCATATTTTATTTACCTGATAACTAAAAATTCTATAATTTTCTTTAATTGACTGAATATTCACTTATTTTCAAGTGTCCCTTTGATTTTCAGTATTAATAGTTTAACCTGGACTTTGTTCTTTTTAAATCCAAATGGACATTAGGGAGTGTTTATGCTTAGTACAATGAGAAGCTAAGACATCTGCACCTCTCTTCATATAGAGAAAATTCTGTGTTCCAGAGAGTTATTTTTAATACTTGCTTCTTATTCATCTATCAATCATATCTTCTCCACATTCCCCTTCTGCAGGTGCTGGAGAGTCAGGAAAGAGCACTATTGTAAAGCAAATGAAGTAAGTATCTGAATATGCATATCAGCTTTGAATTTGGTATTTGTGGTATAAGCTGTCTAGCTAAAATCCTATTACAATATTTATGCTTATTTGAATAAAATGCAAAGAAACATCATTCAAATCAAGTTTCCATTCAAACACACTATGAAGAAAATCACCAAATGTCTGAGACACACAGGTGGATTGGTAGTCAAATCTGAACAACCAAATCATGCACTGGGCTCATGCATGGAGAGCAGGGAATCTGCTTCCTTGGCTTTGGTGGGAATTACTGTGGTGGAAATATGACTGTAAGAGACAAGCAGTGATGGGTGAACCACCTGGCAGGCCCTGTCTCCAGCAGATGCCAGTGAAGGATGTTTGAAAATCATCAGACCAGCCAAGCCAACACACTTGTGCTGGATGCCCTACAGTATCTGATGATCTGTGCCTTGGAAACCATCCTGGACCACTCGGTCCCTGCAGCAGCCCTCAGTTCATTCATGTCTACCCCTGAATCTCTTGCTGAACCAATGTAAACTAACAGTATCCACAGCACTCTACAGCAAGTAGTTCCACAGTTTAATTACACTTGGTGTGAATCATCTCTCCTATTCATTGTATTTCAAGAGTAAATATCAAAATATTTGCATTGCACCATAGAACATGAAGCGCTTTCATCCTGTTTTTTTGGGGGGAGGTGAAGTTATTTTTTATTTGTTTTGGTGGTATTTTTTGTTTTGTTTTTTGGAGGTTTTCTTTTGTGTTTGTTTGTTTGTTTGGTTGTTGTTGTTGTTGTTGTTTCATTGGGTTTCCCCCCCCAGATGGCCTCTATAGATCATTCTTGGTCTCCAGAGCTCCTGCTGAGGTTAAAAAGGTCCCCCACAGGCCAGGAGAGAACACATTATCCACCAGCCTGCACAGTGAGCAGCTGCTACCAATGATAACATGGGTAGGGACTGATGTAAGAACTGCTTTTAGTAAGAAAATTACCAACACAAAAAGTTTTCATACGATAACCAATCTCGGAAAAAAAAACAGGCTGTACAAGCTCATGTGCAGAAATCCCTGTTTGAATTTGGACTGACTATCTGGTTACAGAGATATTGTGAGTGCATCATAAATTTACTGCAAGAATATTTGTAGCTGTTTGTTCAAAGTGCACAAAGTCCCTCATAGATTGAAGTCAGGAACTTCACTTTCCTCGGCTTCAAAGGAACGTTGAATCTCTCTGCATGTGTGTGCTGATTTACAATTTAGTTTGACAATATTTTCATATAAAACAGGTTACAACTAAATTCCTACATGTTTTTAAGGGCAGCCAAAATGCTGATTATGTATCTGGTTTAAATTAACAATCCACCAAAATGCAAGGGACCATACTTACACTGATGGCAAATCGTCCTTTACTGCACAACCTGATAAAATATTGCTAATGTGTCTAGTCTTATTTTCATAGAGAGGTCCAGGTCTGATTCCTAAACCTGTCCAAATACAGAAAAAATTACACAGAATTGCAGCTGTTAAGACTTGATCCCACACTTTAAGCACCAATCTCTTCCTGTGTAAAAATCAAGCAACCTGTTTATGAAATCAGTAACACCATTCTGGACTTAAGTTCCCCTACTTATTTATTATCTTCACCAATACCTATTTATTGTCTTCACCAATGCATTTTAAAGAGTTAAGTAAAAAATATTATGTCATAAGAACAAATTTCTACTATTTAAGCAACTAATTTTGTAATAAAGCAGATTCAGAACCATCCACCAAATACTTTGCTAACCCTTTTTTTCCAGTTAAATAGTAGATAAATTTCTTACTGTTTTGAGTTCCATACAGGAGACCCTCCCTACTCAGCAAACCATTGAGGTGTGTTGTGCTCAAATCATCCCCAAGCAGGGGCAAGATGTTCCTCTGAACTGAGCACTTTAAGGAGACTGATGAGATTTAACAGCATGGAGAAAAGCTGATGTATAAAAAAAATTCAAAGCTGAGAGTTATACATATAAAGACTTTTGCATTTATGACCTGTCAAATTGATCACAAATATTAATTATTTTACAGGAAAACCGTTCACAAAAATTGTATTTTTTCATATAAAATGTCATTTTTTGGTCACAACCAAGGACTTTTCAAGGGATAGTTTTTTCAGTTAAAACCCGCAATATTAGTAAATTTTTTTCAGTGAAGCATAAAGTTTTCTAAAGAACACTGATAGATGTTTACAAAAGAAATAATTTTGCTGAAAATATAGTTTCCAGCAAAATCATAGTAATTTTTAAACTATATATTTTATAACAATAAAAACTATAACTATATATTTTATAACATAATTTTCTAATTAATAAATCACATTTTTTTCAGTCTTAATCAACGTTATATCCATCCATTAAACATTAAAAAATATCTTCTGATACTCAAAATACAGATATGCTGCAGAGCCCTTGCAGCATAAAAAGATGAGGATGGTTATGAGAGATACTAAAAAGAAAAAAAAAACATCTCTGGAGCTCTGTGCTTCTAACTGCATAATTTCCAATGTGCAATCTAGCTTTTCAAAAACCAAGTTGCATAATGCTGTGCTCTTATTTAGCAGTTTGAACCTTCTACAAATATTTCAGTGAATGAAAAGCAGAAAACAAAATATTTGGTAACTCATCACGCCTGTTGAGACTGAATCAAAGCCACCTATCTGATGAGAAGCCCTGCTTTTGTGAATAAAAGCCTCAGAATCCTCATGCATAAGATGGGGATGGTCTCTGCTCCATGAGCTCCTCTTTTTTCTTTCTCCCAAGTTCAATAGGACTCCTTTGAATCTTGCAGAATTCATCTGAATTCATGATGAAAACAGCATTCAAAAAAAAAAAAAAAGGCAAGGCTTTAAAAGAGAGTTCATAAAGTTGCCTGATCAAGAAGAGATTGGGAAAACATTTTAGAGAGATTTTTTTTCCTACAGATGCTATTCCTACGGGCACAGGAATGCAACTTTTGAGTTTTCTGACATCCAAAAATCAGAGAGATGTTAAGACACATCAGTTGTCATCTGAGTTTTGTGTGTGTTTATTCAAGTGAATTATTTTCTGACAGGGCTGACTTGGCTACTCAGGTAGCTCTCTCCAGAGTGTATCTCAGGCAAGATGGGGCAAAACACCAAACCCCAAAGCCCAGAAATTCTGTATTTAACAGCCTTCATCTCTGACCAGCTGAGGTGAGGAAGATTAGAGCCTTGGTTTCAGCAGCCAAAGCAGTTCTGAGTCTGTTCAATGAGAGCACACCAGGCCAAAGCAGGTGAAGATTTCATCCTTATTCCCAGCTCATGGAAAAAAGATGTCTCTAAGCCCTGATATAATCTGCACACTGATTTGGAGAACTTTAACCACATGCCATTCTCCAGTCAAGGAGGATTATAAAATTCTAATTCCTCTGTCAGAAAGATTACTGAAGCTGATTACTAAGGCTCTTTACCCTATGGAGTAAAGTGTAAGTCTCCAAAGCCTGGAGATAATAAGACCTTGTTATTACTGTAGAAACTATATCTGATGCAGAAAAAAATATAAATTGTTTTTCTTGCTTTATTGATAATTGCCTCCCAGTGCTGAAACATTTTTCCAATAATTTTTCTATCTAGGTAAGATTCTTGATAAAAATCAGAATGGCTGAACAAGCAGTGACAGTCCATGACTAATATTGCAGTTTCCAGAAGTAAAACATTTGGGATCTAAGCACAGAAATGTGTCTTGCCCTTTATCTCCAGGGATGGGCCTGGCTCTTGTTCTAGACACATACTTTGTTTTAGATTAACTCCCAAGCAGAAAAAACAGCATCTATTCTCTCAGACTGGGTGCAGACAATTAACCTCACAAAGGCAGAAACTGCTGCTGTCCTGTTCTAGCAGAATAGGCAGATCCACCATTGAAAAATGCTTTTCCAAGGGCCAGATGGGTGCAGTTCTTTCTCACACTGACTACAAAAGTGCCTGATCTAACTTTTTATTCCTTTTTTTTTTAAGTATCTCATAAGCCTTTAGTTGTTTATTTTTTCTACCAGAATCATCCATAAGGACGGTTTCACCTTGGAGGAGCGCATGGAGTTCAGACCAATCGTTTACAGCAACGCAGTGCAGTCTATCCTGGCCATTGTCAAAGCAATGACTAAGTTAGGAATCAGTTATGAAAACCCTGGTAGAATTGTGAGTATGACACCCTTTCTCTTGAAATAGGTATTGGAACAATTTATTATTTTTTTTGTAATGTAATAGTAGAGACTAGTAGAACAAGGAGGATCTGGTATTTTCTTTATGACAGTGGAAACTGAGTTCCATTTGAGTTATATGTGACAAAATGTCCTCACTTTTTATATTCTCAAAACTGATGCCTCACTTTTGCATAAACTCTTATTTTGATTGCTACAAAGAAAATGTTCAAGTTGCAAAGACATTAAAAAAAAAACAGAAAAAAAAAGAGAACATTTTCTTAGCTGCTTAGCCACTTATTTATTGCTATTGAGAAATGCAAAAAATATTTTCCTTTTATGACCAAATCTTGGGGTCCAGCCATGTGAGGAAAGGTTGTGTAGACATGCTGGGAGCATTTCAGTCATTGCTGCTGGAACAGAGACCTCCCTGTGGTGTGGATGCACCACTGGCACCACAGGGAAGTGGTGCCCAACATTCCTGACAGAGCCAAAAATCCTATGCACAGGCAGATGGAGGCAAAGCCACAGGAAGAAGACCTGTTGTCTTCAGTCAATTACCCTGAGTTTTCAAGGACAGAAATAAAGGAAAAACTTTTCTTCTCCATGCAATGATTTAGTCTTTTAGCCTCTAATTCAGATCTTGCTGAGAATTTCTCAAATGCCTGTCAGAATATCAGTTGATTCCAGTTTTGGCAAATTCTGCCTAATCCCTAGAGGTTTATCTTGGAGGGAGTAACATCTGCTTATCTGAAAGAGCTCTACTTGCTCCAGAAGTACATTTCATTATAATGACATGTGGTACTTTGACCTAAAAAATGATAAACAAAATCTTCAGGGGTCACTAAAGCTCATACAGGCATTTGACAAAATAGAAATTAAATATTTTCCACTAATAATTCAAACATTCAAACAAATGTAACAAGGCCCAAAAGCAGCACACAGAAAACAGAGCTATGTAAATGTGCTGTACTGCATAAGGAGCCATCAACCACCCTGCTTGGCCCAAGCCATGGCTCCAGCTGGACCTTGCAGTGCTGGCCACAAGCCCTGCCTGGCTCAGCCCATCATCTCCTCTGTGTGGGGCAGGCTCTGTCTCCTCTTGCTGAGACATGTTCTCTCTGTGCCCCAATATTTCAGTCTCTTTTCTCAACCCTGACAAACTTTCTGAGATGTCTATACAGGCTCACTCAGTGCCAGTTTCACCGATTTCCCCTTTTCAAGGGACTTCATGTCACCGAGAAGTTGTTAAATAGCCCAGTTTCTTATATATATATATATATATATAAAATATATAAAGAATATAAAATATTTTAAAATATTAATTTTAATTAATATTATTTTAAATATAAAATCTAAACATATTATATATATATATATATATATATATATATATATATATATATATAATTTCTTAGCATTATGTATAACCAAATGCAGAAAACACAGCTTTTGTAAGTTTATCATTTATAGTACAGTCAGCTCACTCTTCCTATTGCAGAAAAGGCTTCTAGGACCACAGGTGAATCCAGCTGTATAGAATGTTTGCAGTGCCTGTCTTCTTTTCCCCCAGAATGACAGAAGAGCAACCTGCATATGATTTTTAGAGAAAATAGAAATTCAGGTCACATTTATTTGAGTTGCCACTAAACATTGCCTTCTCTTCCAAAAACCTCCAAAAACTTATCTTACATTTCTCATAAAATCATAAGAAATTGACAAGCTTTAGTTGTTTTTATATAAGCAGTGATTTCAGCTGGACTTTGTTCTTGCTGTGTGTTCTGGTTCAGATTTAGCAGCTCAAAGTCATCTAGTTCAAGGACTGGGATTATCTTGGTCCCAAAAGCAGTGTGCTTATCCATGTTCCAGGTCTGCCTGCAAATACATCTTACTGGTATGGAAAAGGCCTTAACACTTAATTTAAACAACATCTTTTCTGGGAAGCGAGGTAATTTTTTCTCTTTAAAACATCATTCCCATCTATTTTAGTGTGAAAATCATCTAAAGTCTTTGTAAATGCCAGAGATAAACAAAAAGTTCTACAAATCAGGGTGATAATGTGATAAGTTCAATCTGCTGCTATCTTCCTTTATTATTGTCCAGATTTAGGACAAATTTGGGAGAGAACCTCTGACAGGGTTCCTCTAGAAAACAGATTCAAGCAGCCCCTCCCCCAAATGTTCAGGAAAATATTTCCTTGGAGAAAAGTGGAAAAAACCTGTTTATTTAACAGGCAAAGCATTCACCAGCACAAAAAATGAACAGTATTAAACAATAAAATCTCTTGCTGCTCCAAAAGAGATGACAGGCTCAGAAAGTCCCCTTGGTGGGCAGTAGCTCAGCTCACCCAGTCTGTTATCAATCCCTCCTGCGCTGGAAATGCTGTCCCACAACTGGGTGGGCCACAGGTGGGAGCTCCTGGTGCTCTTCTGGGTGTACAGTCCACAGCAGGTTAAAACAGGTCCAAGAAAAAGAAAAAAAAACACAGTCCAGGGAATTTGTCTGCCTCAGCTAGCTAAAAACTAACTAAAAGCACAGGAGAGCTCTGTCCCACTGTGCTGCAGAGAGCACAGTCCAGGAGAGGATGCAGGGGGGCAAGTTCAGTTCCTGATAACAAACTCTGCACTTCTTCTCCCTCTTCTTCTCTCTCAGAACCAGCCATAAATGTGCAAAACCTATTTCTGGGCTAAAATAACAAAGGGGGATATGAGCATCATAAAGCCACACCAGGATATTCCACCTCTACTTCTTATTATTCTTATTGCCAGGACAATTATGTAAGCACAAAAATCCACATATGTTCCCTTTTGCATAATAATCAATGAACATTTACCCTCTACACCTAGAGACTCTGAGCTCAAGATTGTAGGCCATTCAACGCACAAATCCAGCCTGGTAGGTGGATAGCTGTAATCATTCCGTGATATGCCATATCTTGAAGCAGAGAACATTGCAACTCTTATCTTTCTGCTGAACAAGTGTGCACCCTGGAGACAAATGTGAGGCACACACGAGAGAGTGACTCGCTTCTGCTGATCCGAGCACTGCTGGAGGGCATGGGGGTGTAAATGGAGCTGGTGCTGCTTCCTGTAGAAGGGCAATTTTCCTGCTGTCCTCGTCCCTCTTTCCAGTGAAGGCAATTTTCTAGTGGTTATTTCCTAGTTTTGGTTTTTTTCCTCCATGCCTACTCAATATCTCTTTTTATTTTTTTTTCTCCATGCCTACTCAATTTCTCTTTCATAAAAAAAATGCAGTGTTTAATTTTTGATCTGTCTCTGACTTTTTATAAATTTTCCATAAACTGCAGCTCCTCTTGAGACATAAAGATATAACAGATTCCTAAAATAAATTTGTTAAAAATTTTTGTGAAGATGCTTCCTGGTTTTGAATAAAACATACTCCCTGCCAAAACAGTGTCTGTCAGAATCCATTTATACTTTTGCAACTATTGACTGCAAGTCACTTGAGTTGTCTACTTCTATGACTAAGAAGGAGCTATGTTTTATAATTATCCCTTGCTGTGGCAGTGTATCAAATGACTATTTTAATCATGCTCTTTATTTACAGTAAATTCCTAAGCTGCTAACTACTGAAAATAAATATTTTTAATGAACTAGATTATTTAAAATATTTTCATTTGGCTAAAAAAGGAAGAAATAAGAGAATAATATATTTAAAATATTTGGGATTTTATTCTTTACAGGTTTTTTCTTCCCCACATAGGGGAAATGCATTCGCAAGTTATATTCCTTTTGTCACGTTTCTTACTGGGGTCAGAAGCTAGAAATTTTTTCTTACAAACACATTCAAAACCAACTTTAGATATAGATTTCTGCATTGATATAGTTATAATATGTTTTAAATTTAAATGTCCTTTTAAATTTAATTTTTAATACAATACCCTATTACTTTATTAATATAAAACTTTGCACCCAAGTTGGATGGAAGGCTTTTATATTAATAAAGTAATAGAGTTTCTTCTTCTTCCCCACATAGGGGAAATGCATTCCCTATGTCACTCTTTCTTACTTTGTCACTTTTCTTACTGGGATCAAAAGCTAAAAATTTTTTCTTACAAACACATTCAAAACCAACTTTAGATATAGATTTCTGCATTGATATAGTTATAAAATGTTTTAAATTTAAATGTCCTTTTAAATTTAAGTTTTAATACCCTATTACTCTCTTAATATAAAAGCCTTCCATCCAAGCTGGACTATTTGTGAATGCCTATGGCAAAATGAAACTGAGCCCTCATATCAAAACAAAACAAAAAAAGATGAAAACTCTGTGTATCACAATTTCAGCCTAACCTTGGCACTACCTAAAGGGAAGTGAGCCTGTAAAAAGATGTTTGCATGCACAGATGAGTACAGCAACCTGGAAAAACCAGCAAAAATGAGAAATTTTTGCCCTTTCTACTCATTACAAACCAAGCTCATCCTCAAGGAGGTGAAGGGGCACGGCGCGCTTGCACAATATTTACTGAGATTTCTCTTTAGGAAGATGAAAGGAGGCTGTGTGCCATGGCAACAGCTCTGGAGGATGGCAGCATGTCCCCGGAGCTGGTGGAGCTCATCAAGCAGCTATGGCGCGACGGCGGCACCCAGGCGTGCTTCGCCAGGGCGGCGGAGTACCAGCTCAGCGACTCGGCGGCATAGTAGGTGGCACAGCTGCTCAAAAGCTGGATTCTGCACTACAGTAACTGTCCCCCTCGAAGAACAGCCTCTGGAAACCATTGCTGGTTAACCTGGAAAAATGGGGGGGTTGATAAGGTTTATAATGTGTCAGAAATGTTTAGGCGGAGAAAGACGAGAAAGCAAAGTTTCAGAAACAATTTGTGTCTGTGGGTTTGTTTGAATGATTAAAAAAAAAGAAGTATTCTCCTTCTGAGTATTTCTAAGATTGACAAAATGAGGGAAAGGTGACTCGAAACAGCTTAGGTTTTACCTAGAGTGATATTTTGTGTATGTTGCAAGATGTTAAATATAAGTCAGGAGGAAACAATAAAAACTTTCCTCTAAACTAACCCAGCTGCAAGGACAGGTGCTCCCTGGGCCTTTACCACCTCAGCTGAACCAGAGGTGCTCTCCAAGCCTGACAGCCCCAGGTCCCTTTCTGAGCCCTGGAGGCACCAGACAGATGAGCAGGGGGCTGACCAGGGCTGCTCAACCTCACCCCCACGCAGGATCAGCATCCAGCTGGGGCACATCTCTCACCTCAGATGAATCAGTGACTTTCGACTTTTCAGGAGGCCCTGGCTTGGCCCCAGTCCTGCTTGGCCCCAGTCCTGCTTGGCTGCCTTCTGACCCAGCTCATACACTCCATGAAGGGAGGTGTCACTGGGTCAGAGTCTTTCGAGAGTGCTCGAGTCTGACTCCAGACCTTTGTTCCAGCTGGGGTCCATCTTCTGAGACCCGCAGGTGGAGATTTCCCCACTCCGGGAGCTCCTCCTGCAGGCTGAGGGCGCCTGCAGGGTGAAGCCTTCCAAGGTGCTGAGTGTCCCTCCTGCAAGGCAGGAAAAGAAAGGCATCGTTGAATGTTGGCCCTCAGGAGGCAATCTGAATTGATCCAAAGTTCAAAAATTGTAGATATAGTGCAGGGAACATGCAGAGAAAATATTAAAGATTCTTCATCTTTTTATGTCTTCCAAACAAGAATTAAGATCTTTTGCAAGAGTGTTAAACAAAGAAAATATTGCCTACGTTGATTTGTTGATTTGACAGCATTTTATAGCAGTGTTGTTTTTTTTATAAGGATGGTACAAAGCAATTTTTTTCTACAAAACCCTTTATGACAGATTCTGCTGCCATTCCCACTAAAAGCCCATAACAAACTAGTCATAATAAGTAAAAGGAAAATTACCTCTTAACTTCTTTAAAACAAAATTTAAACCCTGTTTACGAGTGAACACTATTCTGTGTACCCTCTGCCAGGCAAAAAAGGTTTGTTGTCTACAAAGAAGATAGAAGAACATAAATTAATTCGCTTTCAGTGTTAATGTTTGTGTCCTGTTTTAACCTGAAGTAGGTTTCAGTATTTAGGGAGGTTAATATAGGTTGTGTCTGTAGTTATTATTTATTTCTAGACCTACATTAAAAACAGCTACAGTGAGATGTTTTCAATCTGCTGGAACATTTCTGCTAATTTCTTGGAAATCCTGCTTCTCTGGCTTCATCTTTTGGTACCTGATGCTCCCAAAATTCTAGCCTTCGGCTCTGAATCATTAAAATCAACTTAATGTTTACCCTTACTGCTGGGCTTCTAATGATCAGTTCAAAGTCAGCTACAATCAACCATCTAACGCTGCAGTTCAATGTCTTTTAAATCCCAAACCCTGTTTCTCAGTGCCTGTGAGCCAGCTCCTATATAGAATCTTGATTAATACTGAGTAAACTCTGACTTTCTGAGGTTAATACTGAGTAAACTCTGACTTTCTGAGGTTATGTCCTCTGAGATTTCTCATTATTAATTCATGCTAATGAAGTTTGATCACTGCTTTTCCTTTGTGTGTTTTAATTGAAAAAAGAAATTACTTCTTCAGAATAATAGAAAAATTCCCTCTTTGTCAAATTTAGATGGAATTTGTCCCTTGGACTCAAATGGAATGATTTGTTTTAAAATGGAATGATGGGTATGGAAGGGGCAAGATTGGGATTATAAATTGTGACTTCACATGTCATTGTAGTACATGGTGCATCTTGCTAGCTCAGCCATTTTCCTCTCAGGGTAGGAGTCTGGTCACCTCATTCAAGCCAAAGAAAATCAGCATTTACTGACCCCCAGTTTCCGTTCCCTCCTTTCCCAGTGAGGAGATGATCTGCAGCCTCCCCTTGGAGCTGCCTAAGGCTCTGGAGGAGCCTGAAATTGCCTCCTGCTCCTTTAACTGCATAATTGACTTGGTCTAATTCTTTATGCAATTACAATTGGCTGTGTTGAATTGAATTTAGGCATTTGTGGCTATGAACTGTCAGAACTTTATTTTATATTCAAGTGTTTATTTTAGTGCTTACATGTTTTATAAATAACAAAATGCCTTTTGTTTCTGCCTTTCACAAAAATGAGCTGTTTGCCTCAGGCTCTACTCAGAGAAACAGAGCTATATTGCTTTTTTTTTCCTTTCCCCAACAGATTGTTTCCTGGCCTCAAATAATGGGAAAACATTGAATTACTTAGATCAGGTTCAACACCCCTTGCAGACTGGATACAGTTTATTCAACTTAAAATAGGAAAATCCCATTTCCAAACATTACTTGGAAATATCCTAATGAAAGATTACAGCATTTTAGATTTTTATTTTATTTTATTTCATTTTATTCTTCTTTTTTTTTTTTTTTTTAACTTACAGATCTATTAAATATTACACACAAGGACGATGATCTGTGAGGTTTCTTTTGGAAGATTCTGGTTAAACTGAGCAGCAGAACTTCCTGCTGGGTTCAGTGTAGAGGCTGTAGACTTAGTGTAGAGAAGAAAATAAAAGTATGGAACCTAACAGCCATTGGAAACACAGTGTTTGTTTGTCAGAGACAGGAGGCTTCAAATAGGAAGGTGCCAAGTGGACACTGAAAATGCTCCAGCTATTGTGTGGCTGCTTGCTTTTGGCTTTGGTCTTTATTTGAACATTGGTAGCTAAAATGCAGGAAGTTACTCAAGCATCACCTCTTTCTTTTCCTTTTGCCAACTCATAACCCCTCTGCACAGATTCCCAGAGCAGCCAGCAGGATTCAGAGGCTCTGCCCAGCCATTCAAAGAAAGGTGTCTGCCCCTGTAAGAGACAGGAGAAGTGTTGGACAAAAACATGCTTCAAAGATCTGGTTTGGGTTCTCATATAATGTAGATTTTATCTGTGTATACCAGAAGTAAAAGCAGATAATCCACAGTTTTTCAAGGACTCTTCAGAATGGCAACCCAGGGGATCCTCAGCTTCATTGAAGCTTTTGGTTTTGACAAAAAATATATTTTTAAAAATCACCATGTACCTTCTTGTTGTAAATTGAGAGGTCTAAAGAGAAAACAGCCCTTTAAAGTGAATTCCTCCAAAATATTATGCCCTCCCTTTCACTTAGGAAGGAAAACACTGTTTTCAGTCCAGAAAAGACTGTTGCAACCAGTCTGACAGGCTGAGGTGATTCCTTTTGCATCTGCTTCTGCAGGATGCTTGTGGTTCTTGCCCTGAGGCAGCAATTCCCACTTGCTGAGAGAACATGGCCAAAACCCCTTTGCTGACAAGGTGGTTTTTGACCATCCTTAGGGAAAATAAGGATTTTCCTTAGCTGCAAATCTAAGAAAGATGCTTACTATGTGCAATTGAATTACACTTCTCTATACGAGGAGAAAAAAAACCAACTCTGAATTGTGCAAGTCAGTTGTATAAAACCAACAGTACTGTATTAAATACGTATGTTGCATAATATATTTTAAAGGGACTCAGTGTGGAGTGATTATGTAATGGACATTTCACTTTTTGAATTCACCAGCCACCATTTCTGTCTCACTCTCCCCAGTTACCTCAATGATTTGGACAGGTTGGCAATGCCAGACTATGTCCCCACGGAGCAAGACGTCCTGCACTCCCGAGTGCAGACAACTGGGATTATAGAGACTCAGTTTTCTTTCAAGGATTTAAACTTCAGGTATGAAAGCCATATTTTACATTTTTCTTGGGTTTTATTCTTCTTAAGCATTTTCTTTAATACGTGTTGACTTATTATAACACAGGTGACGTCATTGTGATATCATTGAATCCAGTCTTATATAACATTTTTACACAGCTGAAAAAGCAAGATATTTTATTATCAGTACTCCAACTCTGAGCATATAATGGACCATTACAAATAGGTCACAAAATACTAGGTTCTAAAAGGGCATTTTTACGTATGCAAATGTCTAAAAAGCTTTAGTTATATCCTGCCATTTGAATAATTGTGCCATTTATAAAATTTGCCTACTTAAATGTCCTTAAGAGCATGCAAAAAACATTTGATTCCTACCAATTTGCACATACTCTAGACCTTTCACTCTTCTTTTGAGAATGGAAATAACTGCTTTTAGCACAGGAATGCACTACAGTTGGCCAAAAAAAAAAAAAAAAAGAAGAAAAAAGTCTGTCCCATGGGGAATTTCAGCATTATCAAACATATCTTCATGCTCATTTAAGATGAAAACCAAAATGCTCAGAAAAGAATTTTGAAAATAATGCCTCTGAGAAATTTGACTGAAATGTTTTTTTACACTTCCAGATATTCAAGATCTAGTTATGCTTGGTGAACCAATTAAAAGCATCTAATTGCACATGAAGATGGATTTGAATGAATTATTATCATTTCAGAGTTCTATAATCCTTTACTCTGTGGACTCAAATCCATTTAATTCTCAATTTAAAAGCTGGGGCACATATCGAAGAATGCAGTCTAGACAAGAAACTGCCTGTAGAGGCAGACAGATTTATAAAGCATGAGAATTATTAACTTTTACATTTTTCATCTGGCTTCTTTCTTTCTTCTCATGTGCCAATTAAGCATTCCCCAAACCATCTATGCTACTACACAGATGCTTGAACACAACAGAGATTGCACATACAAAATGAGATCCTGAAGTAGATGTCTTACAAATAAATTATTATCATTTATCAATATTCTGGTCACTCATGAAAATTCATGATCTGCCCAAAAATGCTACAGTGCAATGTCATGGACATCATCTTCTTTTTCTCTGATTAATGTATTTCTAGCTTTGTTCATTGGAAATTCAAATGCCACCAGTTACAATCATAGTTCATGTATGAAATCAATTCAGGATGGAGAAAGAAAGCACCAGAGGGAAACCCTCATTGACAAGGATGATATCAGCCCTGAGATGAGAATATCAGCATTAGTGTTTGGGTCTAGCTGAAATGCAGCACAACTGGGATTTAAGTTTGCAAAATTTAGTTTACAAAATTTATTCTGCAAAAAAGAGGAAGGCTCTTAAAGCCACCACAAACACAAACCCCACTGTTTTTACCCTCTGCTGTGCATCACAGTAGTGTTATGTGAGTAAATTCATTGGTGATTTCAGGCAGTTGAATAATATTAGGTAATATTAGGAAAAATCACTACAAAGGAGTCTGAGGGGTTTGAGCTGCAAAAGGGGTGCACAACAATTATAAATCCATGTTAACCTGCCAGGAACTGCTACTTTGCATTGCCATAGCAATGCAAAACAGGTGGAGGATCCTGATGTCTCTGCACAAGTTTGATAAGTACCATGGAAACATCTCTAAAGAGAGGAACACTTGCACATTCAGAGTGAGTTTTGGCTGATGTGCTGATGGGGTTTCAGGTCACAAGCCATGCATGGAAACAAAAAACCCATGAACAGATGCCTCATTTACTAAACCGTTGTCCCTTTACTGAACTGAATGAGACAGAAAACATTTTGTAACTGTGCAGTAAAAGTCTAAATCCCAGCACTGCTCCCAGGAACTGAATTACAGTTGCACAGAAAACATTGATTTTTATTTGCTCCTTGCTTAGCAGTTACTTTGCTGGTTTAGTGCAATTTAGCTTCCATGTGCTCTTCAATTTATTTCACTAATGTTGACTTAAAGCTCAGAACATAATTAAATGTTTTTCAAAGGAGATCTGGTCTTCATAGTTCTTCTTCTAGTATCCTTTCTATTGGTATGCTAGTAACAGTTAGACCGAAGTCAGGCAAGCTTTATTTTAATCTTCAGACCTTTCTGTGTGTACCACTGGGGGAGTATGTAATTCTGTATCTGCAGCTAAGCTTTTCAAGAGCAGTTCTGGGAAAATATAGAGATTTCTAGACTAACTGACCATCTTGGTAAAACAAAATCATCTCATTTTCTATCATTTATGGAGGGACTTTGGTTTTACATGTGAGTGTGTTAAGTTCTGGGCTGAGGATAGAGAAGCAAACTAAGGTTAGTACAACCAAAACTGCCCTTAAGCATTGCCTCTGGCCTTGGTCTCGTCCTTTTTAACTGGTTTCTCTTGAATAGTCAAAGGCCATATGCTAAAATTCACAGGAAGTGAATACTGATTCACATGATTATCAAAACTTTCCTGAAGAATAAATTTTGTATCTTTTATTATTTGTTTTCCTGCCATAGCCCTGATTTCAGAGTTATACACCACAAATCAAGAAAGGCATGTAACTATAGGTGACTTTTGAGTACTAATCAGAGACAAAAGTCAAGATATTTTATTTGTGCTGATCCCACTCTTCAGTAGACCTTCTGAACTTAGTGAAGATATCCTTGGAAGAATGTCATTACTATTATCAAAATCTTGCTCCACAAAAGCTTCCTGACTTCAGGAATAATTCATTTTGTCAATAAAAATAATTCATTTTTATTGACACCCAATAAAAAAAAAAAGATTAAATGTCCCAGTAAAAAAAAAAAAAAAACCAACTTAATTACCCCTCAGCTGCAGAAACATTTCATTATGAGCACTGAAAGGGTTTTATTTTTCCCCTAAGAAGGAAGAAAAATTACAAAAAATAACCTTTTTTAACATCAACTGCACTGCTGATGGTGAAGGAAAAAAGGACTAAGATTCTGCAAAAAACAGTGTTTCAGCAACAAATTATTTTTGCTCTGTTTACTATTGACATGATTGCTTCTTACTGAATTCCATTCTATTCATTGCTATAAGAATTGTTTAATTTTCAGATACTGCAGGATCCAGAGATCTAATGCACATTCTTGAAGGAAGGAGTTATCCAAGGGGGGATTAGGCTTTACAGTATTAAGTTCAACAACAGGAGGCACAGGGAAAAGTCATCATGCACACTAGGAAACAGAAAACCTAAGGGCAGGATAAATTTGATTTTTTATGTTTTCCCTGTTTTCTGACGCACTTGAAAAATCTTAAAGTTTGGCACCTTCTGTTTCAGTAAAACAGTGAAAGGAAAGCCCTGTCACTGAAAAACTGCAAGTGTGGGTGGGAATTGTGGAAGTTAGGGCTAAGGGCCCTAAGTCCCAGCCAGGTGTGCCCAGATGTCTTTGGATCCCACAGAGAGCCCATAGAAAGTTCATATGATTCTACCCAAAGGTAGTAGCAATTCCTGGCAAAGGTGGAAGGAAATCATTGCAGGGAAGGAAGCCCTACAATTCCCTCTGTACAAAGGAGAGGGTTCCTGCTCTCCAGGAATTGTTGCTTCAGAGCAGCCAATGAAGGTGGAGAGGCCCTCCAAAGTGGGATGCAGGTTGTGCAGCGAGCTCAGGGATCACCAAAGGGCAGGGAGCCGATGGCAATAGCTATTCATGCACAGCCAGGGGCCAGTGTGTGACTGGCCTTCAGTCCTGTGTCTTGGTGCTCAATATGCCAGCTCACTGCGAGCAAAGCATGAAGTAATAAATGATACTGCATTTGAGGGTCTTCTGTCAATGACTCAGAACTCTGCCCTAAATAAATCCTAGCCTGCAAGTCTTAGTCCTGCACTGAGCCCCATTTCCTCAACATTTCCTTTTCTGGGCCCCTCAGGTTGGGAAGGATGTTGAGACACTAGAGCAGGTCCAGAGGGGGCAACGAGGCTGGTGAGGGCCTGGGAACACAAACCCTGTGAGGAACCACTGAGGGAGCTGGGGGTGTTTAGCCTGGAGAAGAGGAGACCCAGAGGTGACCTTATCACTCTCTACACTCCCTGAAAGGAGGCTGTAGTCAGGTGGGGTCTCTTTCTCCAGGCAGCACTGACAGAACCAGAGGACACAGTCTGAAGCTGTGTCAGGGGAAATATAGGTTGGATATTAGGAAAAAGTTTTTTACAGAAAGAGTGAAAAAGTACTGGAATGGTCTGCCTGGGGAGGTGGTGGAGTCACCATACCTGGATGTGTTTAAAAAAGCCTGGATGTGGCACTTGATTTAGTTGAGTTAGGGCATGGCTTGGACTCGATGATCTTTAAGGTCTCTTCCAACCTGGTGAGTCTGTGAATTCTGTGAACACAAAGTGCCACACGTAAGTACTGACTATTAATCCTACATGCAGCTATTTACGCCTTTTTATTTCATTTTATACCCACTACAAAACCATGAGTAACAACATACAGCACTCCTTGACCTTTTGGGGTAAAAACAGACCAATATTTGGGAAAGCTGGGTATTTTTCATTCATCTCCATTTGAACTCTGTGCATTAAAAGCATGGCTACATCCTTACAAGTGCTTTACATTGTACATATGCTATTTTCTCTGCAAAGGATGTTCGATGTGGGTGGACAGCGATCAGAGAGGAAAAAGTGGATTCACTGCTTTGAAGGAGTTACTTGCATCATATTCTGTGCTGCACTCAGTGCCTATGACATGGTTCTGGTGGAAGATAAAGAAGTGGTGAGTCAGAACAGCAAAACAACCCCTTTTGCTTCTAAGTTTTAATATACTCTCTGAAGGTACATTCCCATTCTCTGATAACCATTTAAAGGCTATTACACTGTATTGGTTCTTTCCAGTAAAGAACATCTCAGTAAAAATGATGTATGGAGATGAGATTTTTTCAGTCTCATGTTTTCCTTTTGCACCTCAACAGAACAGAATGCATGAAAGCCTTCATCTATTCAACAGCATCTGCAACCATAAGTGCTTTGCAGCCACTTCTATTGTGCTGTTCCTAAATAAAAAAGACCTCTTTCAAGAGAAAATAACAAAAGTTCACCTGAATATCTGCTTTCCTGAGTATGATGGTAAGTTTGGAGTGTTCAGGAGAAAACACATTCAGATGTTTTGTGTAGGCCATGAATGAAACACTGACTTTGACTCATGTCTCCTGTATATAGGCATTTAAATACTAAACCTCTTATCTAAGAATCTTCTCATGAAAGAATGGTATGAGACAGACACAGCTAGAATTCAACTCATCTCACCTACCCACATTTATCCTAGGGTGGGTTCATTTCTCTCCCTGGAGTTGCTTATTTCTGTCCATTGGTGGTAGAAGAAGCTGAGAATTTAAAAGTTTCAGGTGGCTGAAGGGTGCTGTGATGGACTCAGCCAATAATTCAGTACAAGTCAGTATTTTATCACTCACACACACATCACAACTGAATCCAAAATTTTTGTTCCTGTTTTAAGAACTCATTCCATAAGGGAAGTCTGTCTCTTTTTGTATGTCACAGTCATGTCTACTGGAAATTAAAAAAAACACCAGATGTTCCCAGCTGATGCAAGAGAATATATAGGGCTGTGTCAGAAATTTCCAGAGAAAAAACAGTGTACATACAAAATTTTCATACCTAAAGTATGAAGTTAATTCAAATAGAAAGAAAAGGGAAAAAACCCACAAAAAACATTATTTCTTCTCTTTTTGCAGTTGTGAGGAAGTACCAGTTAAAATGCGTCTTTTTATTAATTTACTTTTCTTTCCACCAGGAGAAAATACATTTGAAGATGCTGCAAACTACATCAAGAAACAATTTCTAGACTTGAACATAAGGAAAGAAGATAAGGAGGTATATTGTCACTTGACCTGTGCCACAGACACTCAGAATGTCAAATTTGTTTTTGATGCAGTCACAGACATAATAATCAAAGAGAATCTGAAAGACTGTGGGCTTTTCTAACCATTCAACCCCTCACTCAGAGCTTCAGTCCTCTTTCCTCTCTTCATCTGATGTGCTGAGTGAAATAGAAAAAGAAATCCTCTAGGTAAGAAGCAATATCAGTTAGGCACCAGTTAGTATCAGTGGAGTGGTAGGTACAGCCTAAGCACTGCAGACCAACACAGACCTTCCAGATACCATAAGGAGATTTAAAAAAACTGTTCCTGTTCTACAAAGATGACAGCTGCTGATAAACCCTGCTGGAATCAAAGTCACATTCCTGTTTAAATCCGTATCACAGAACCAGAGAATTCTTTGGTTTGGAAGGACCTCAAATATCACCTAGTTCCAACCCCTGTGCCATATGCAGCAACATTTTCCACTAGACCAGGAATCAGCACTTCTCAGCAAACTGGGGACTCCTCAGTATCATGTGTCTTCTAGTGATATAGGATGAAAAAGAATTTATAATTGAGGCCTGAAGAAAACTATAGCTTTAAACAGTATCAATACTTAATTTACATTCTGTTCTGTATTCTGTATGCTACATAAACAACTGAAAGTGACCTGCCATTTATTCAGCAAAAGCAAACCCCCCAGACTTAGATGGTGTACGATGAAGAGCAGTGCAAATCTGAATGTTTAATTATACTGTTTTGTTAGAAGAGCTGAGGGACATATGCATAAAACTGCACACACACAAAATTGACAAAATTCCCAGTTTTAGAAAAATTAAAATTAAAATTAACACAGTAAGATGGAGGCAAGTTTTGTAAATCCCAAGGAGAAAAAAAAATTATAATGCCTGTCGGTTTCTGCATAAGGCACAAAGGCAAGTTGAAACATTTTTGGTTTACAATTAAATATGAGACTTTCTTGAAAAGCAATTAATAGTCCTGCTACTCAACAGGAACAGCAGCAGTGACTTCTACCACTGCAGAGCAGATGTAAACCCACCAGTTCTCATGGCAAAAGCACATCCTTGGGACTTTGGCACAGAGCACCTTTCTCTACACAAAGATCTTGGTAATGCAGAACTAATCTCCCTTAACTCCTGTTGATTTATGGAGACTAACTATAGGAAATATTTGACTGTTTTAAATAGAATGGGACTTTTCCCTGGTTTCGGCTGGGTTAGAGTTAATTTATTTCCTAGTGGCTGTCCCAGTGCTGAGTCTTGCATTTAGTGTATGAGTAATGATAGCACATTGATGGTTTAGCTGTTGCTCAGTGGTGCTGATCCTACATCAAGGACTTTGCAGCATCTCATGCTCTGCCAGTCAGAGATGCTACAAGATGTTTGTATGGCAAGCACAGCTGGCCAAAGGGATATTCCATAACATGGAACATCATGCCCAGTAAAGAAACTGGGGGAGATTGGCCAGGAAGGTTTGATCACTGCTCAGGGATGGACTGGGAATGGGTCCCTGGCAGGCAGTGAGCAGCTGCATTGAGCATCCCTTGGTTTTTCTAAGTTTTATTCCTCTCTCTCTTTTTCATTCTCCTTACTATTATTACTATTGTTGCTATTATTATTATTATTGTTATTGTTATTATTAATATTGTTATTACTATTTACTTTATTCTGTTATTAAACTGTTCTAATATCAAGACATGGACTTTACCTTTTCCTCATTCACTGCAGGTTTTGAAGTGTGTGTGAGCAAGTGCTTGTGTGGTAATTATTTGCCAGCTGAAGTTAAAGCATGAGAGTGTTCTAAAAATATTCAACTGAAATTTGAAATTTGGCTTTGAAACAACACTTACTTTTAAAACAGAATCATTGGTGAAGGGTTTCTTTCTGCCTTTGTCTTTTTTTTTTAATACATTTCAACTTAATGTTCACCACAGACTCCCTGTGATCCGGTTAATCTAATTAGAACAGGGAACTTGGCCACTGAACAGCAGCATCCTGCAAGCTATCCTCATGGCAAGGGCCACCAGGGTGTGCAGATCTCCAAAAGAAGTGGAAAGTGAAGAGCCAAAATACATTTTGCATTGCCTGTATTCCTGCTGCTGCCTCATTTGTAGTGCTTCACTTGATTAATTTCTTGTTTTTAGTGAAAGTAATGGATTTCCAGTGGTAAGGATCCTGGATTTATTTCCAGCAATAGATCTAATTTGAAATGAATAATTTGAACTATGGTGACAAAAACATTAATTCCTAACCAATATCTGGAAAAGCTGGGTGTTTGTCATTCATCTCCATTTGAACTCTGTTTGTCATTCATCTCCATTTGAACTCTGTGCATTAAAAGCATGTCTACATCCTTATGAGTGCTTTACATAATAAAAGCCAAGGTCTTTAAGAAAAAAATCCATGAATAAACAAGTCTCAAACATATTCTTCAAGCAAGTGCCTGAGAAGTCAAACAGCCTTGACACCACAGCCCCAAAGCTCATACAGGTAAGACTGCTGGGATTGGGTTTCTGTGGGAACCCAGAGCAACCCTCTGGCTGTCCAGGATGGCCAAGACCCCTGCCAGGGGGCTCAGAGACTCTGGCACGGAGCCCAAAACACCTGTGGGTTTGATTATGACCCATGGAGCAAATTATCAACCTTATATGAAGATCTGCAAGCCACAACAGTTTAGGTAGAATAATAGTGAAGTTATCACAGGGTGAAAAAGTAGATTTTGGGGGTTTTGGTATGGGGGTTCAGGAGGCAAGATGAAGGGATCTGGGCATGTCCAGCCTTTCTCCTTCTTCTTCTTGGCCTCCATCTTCTGCTGTGCTGTTGGCACTTTCATATTGGTTTAGAGTAGAAGCTCACTGTCTAACATAGGTGATAGGTATTGGAAAGTAATTGTAAATATTGTACACGTAGTTTTTATTATAAAGACATAACACTGCCCCGGGGGCAGGCAGAGTGCCTGGAACTGTCCTGCTGGACAGACCTCAGCTGGACAGGAGAAAGAATTTTATAGATAAGATACAATAAACAACCTTGAGACCAAGAAATGAAGAGCTCTGACTCCTTCTTCAAGCTCTAGGCTGGGAAAAGAGACTTTCTAACATATCTCGGGGTCACTCTGACAAGCTAAAGATCCCGACAGGTTTCCAACTCATGTGGAAGATGTTTGGGAGGCCTAAGCCTGCCCAGTGACAGGAGTGAGCTCTCAGCTCATATTCCTCCAAGAGAAGAGGCTGCAGGCAGTGTCACCAGGACCCAGGGCACTGAGGGACAAGCTGGGGACACAGCACAGGTCAGGGTGCTCAGGTGCTGCAGCCCAGCCTACAGCTCCATCTCCTGGTGACACCACAGGGACAAGCTGGGGACACAGCACAGGTCAGGGTGCTCAGGTGCTGCAGCCCAGCCTACAGCTCCATCTCCTGGTGACACCACGGGGAAATCAGCTGGGAAGGGTGCCTGCGCCCAGTGCTGTGTGCAGCAGTGCTGCATGTAACCCTGTGCCTATATCCCAAATATCCCATTCCAGGATCTGCTGCTGCCACCCACAGCCCCAAATCAGGCAGGAACAGCAGCCAAGCCATGCCCAGGAGTGCAGCCTCATGAGGCCTCTAATTCCTTACACATACACAGAGGGAGGCAGGGAAAGGGCCCAAGGGCGGCAGCTCTTACTGCATGGGGTGAAATCCATGTCACCTGCCCCTCCTTGGGCTGAGTTACCCCAGAGAGAAACCAGGATCACTTTCTTCTCAGTCCTGGCTAATCCTTTAAGGCCATTAAGCATTTCTGAATGTACCTTGTGGAGGTGCTGAATTTCTGGCTCCAGACACCCACCTGTGGTCAGCAGTGCCAAACCTGCACTGACACCCAGCCTGACCCTGCATAGCCCTGCAGCAACCTGAGCTTGGCCTGAATTACCTGGAAAGACCAAAAAGTGAGGACAATTATGGAGAACAAGCTGTGATGGAGGACAGGAAGAAGACTGATATCTGTCATGTAGGTTTAGTACATGGTGACTTTTTATCCTTTTCTCTCTATGCACACACCTTGTTGTTGAAAACAGGAACTTTTGACAAGGAAAAGAAATTTTTGAGGTGAGATGGAAACATGACACTTGAGTTTCAGAGAAAAGATGGCCAGAAGTTTCCAAAAATCTTCCCAGGAATGTGTCTGCACTAGAAAAGGCACCTAATGATAGAAGCCCTTCGAATCCCTAACCCTAACTGCAATTTTTGCCTTAGCTAGAAACTAGGTTGATCCCATAAACTGAGAATGATGAAGAAAAGGTGTCTCCAATAGTCTGAAACCTGCTCTATGCACACCAGCTCTGCTGGGGACAAAATGACCCGAAATGGCCACTCAAGAAACACCAGAGGTTTATTTTTCCTCACTGAGGATTGCAAGAAGATTTTCTACATTGGTGCTAAGAGAAAACTGATGAGGAAAGGTCATGCTCCTTTTCAACTCTGAGTCAACCACTTGTCCTAGCAGATTGAATTAACATCTCTTTCATACTTTCATCCACTGGGACATATAAATCTGATTAATGTGAATGAAAGTAGCAAGACACTCAGAAAAGCTAACATATCCTTCTTACAATGTGTACCTATACGATGCATTGCATGTTCTGAAACCACTTTCTGTAACATCATAAAAACTTGCCATAAATACAGTCCTTTTCTGTAACATTTTAAAAGCATAGGAATGGCATATAAATCACAGGACAGTGAGACTCTGAGGATGAGCATTGTGAAAGCTCCTTATCCCAACCCATTAAGAGCAAATCACAAATTCTGAAGTAGCACGTATGAGGATCCTCTGAGACCTGAGATCAAAGGGCACTTACAAGCTGAACTGGCATTGATCAAACCTGTTAGCTCTGTTTACCCCCGAGTGCAAATCCTGTCCACACAGGAGCAGGGAGCTGTAAAATGAAATTATTCAGCTACAATGAGATCTTACTCAAAAGATACTAAGCTACAATTTGCTACCTCGCAGGACTGTTCAGTGGGTGGTTTTGTGATAGCAAGATGTGTAGAGAGGAGTGAGATAGACTGATACTCTATTTAGTTTATGAGGGGAAAGAATACAGCAGATCTGAGGATATTTT